ATGAGCAAGCTGGAAGCTTGCATGAGTGAATGCCAGCAACTGTCCCTATATAGAAAAGGGCTACCTGGAAGTCAGGCATGTTTAACATGGGGGCTCCATCTTCCTTTTTTTTCTGTTACCTCGTATACAGTAAAGAAACAGGCATCAGGTGATCTGGATAATAAAAGATTAGAGTGGAGGTGACCAGATTTGTGCAGGCTATGCAAACGGCACACCTGTTCCAACCAATCTTTCCTGCCCTATGTACATCAGTCATCACTGCCTCAAACTTTTCTGTAAAACTTCCTGCTCTTCACCTAAGAAGCAGCAACTGATTTTCTCCAGAACTTCTCTCTACACAGAGAGCTTCTCTCTCTCTCTCTCTCTCTCTCTCTCACTCTCTCTCTCTCTCTCTCTCTCTCTCTCTCTCTCTCTCGACAGAGTTTCACTCTTCTTGCCCAAGCTGGAGTGCAGTGGTGCAATCTTGGCTCATTGCAACTCCTGGATTCAAGTGATTCTCCTGCCTCAGCCTCCCAAGTAGCTGGGATTACAGGCATGCACCACCATGCCTGGCTAATTTTGTATTTATAGTGGAGATGGGGTTCTCCATATTGGTCAGGCTGGTCTCAAACTCCCAACTTCAGGTGCTCTGCTTGTCTTGCCCTCCCAAAGTGCTGGGATTACAGGTGTGAGCCACCGCAAAATTATCCTCTTGTTGTTTTTTGTTGGATGTTTTGATTGTTCAAATCGAAGATTTGGCAGTGCTGACCCTTTGTTAACAAGAGCCAACAGGACATACAGGATCCCTTTCCTCCCCTGCCTGCCTCTGCTGAAGCCACCACCAGCACCTCCTTGGCTGGATGCTAGGTGTCCTCCCTGTGTAAAGACTCAGGATGACAGGGCAGCCTCCTTCTGTGGTTGCTGGACTTGGGAACGTTGCAGTATCTTTTGGCTTTCCACGTCTCTAAAATGTTGAAAAATTGTCTGCTTCAGTGTTCAACAGATATCTCAGCCAAAAAACTCAAAAGCAGCAGATGTTGGTGAGGACATGAGGATGCAGAGAAATGGGGATAGTTACACTCTGTTGGGAATGTAAGTTAGTTCAGCCACTGTGGAAAGTAGCCTGGAGATTTCTCAAAGCACTAAAGGTGGAATCACCCTTCAGTCCGGGTGCTCACACCTGTAATCCCAGCACTTTGGGAGGCTGAGATGGGCGGATCAAGAGGTTAGGAGTTCGAGACCAGCCTGGTTAACATGATGAAACCCCATCTCTACTAAAAAAATACAAAAAAATTTAGCTGGGTATGGTGGTGGGTGCCTGTAATCCCAGCTACTCAGGAGGGTGAGGCAGGAGAATTGCTTGAACCTGGGAGGCAGAGGTTGCACTGAGCCGAGACCATGCCATTGCATTCCAGCCTGGGGAACAGAGCAAGACTCCGTCTCTAAATAAATAAAAAAACCACCTTTCAACCCAGCAGTCTCCTTCCTGGGTATCTACCAAAGTAAAACACATCATTCTACCTAAAAGACATCTGCACCCAGCCGGACACCTTGGCTCATGCCTGTAATCCCAGCATTTTGGGAGGCTAAGGCAGGCAGATCACTTGAGGTTAGGAGTTTGAGACTTATCCTGGCTAACATGGCAAAACTCTGTCTCTACTAAAAATACAAAAATTAGCCGGGTATGGTGGCAGGTGCCTGTAATCACAGCTACTCAGGAGGCTGAGGCAGAAGAATCACTTGAACCCAGGAGGCAGAGGTTGCAGCGAACCAAGATCACACCACTGCACTCCAGCCTTGGTGACAGAGCAAGACTCTGTCAGAAAAAAAAAGTAAAAGACATCTGCACCCATATGTTCATTGTAGCACTATTCACAGTAGCAAAGTCATGGAGTCAACCTCAGTGTCCATCAATGATGGGTTCGTTACAGAAAATGTGAAACACAGACATGATGGAATATTATACAGCTATAAAAAAGAATGAAATCATGTCATTTTCAGTAACATAGATGTAGCTGGAGGTTATTATCCTAAGTGAATTAAGGCAGAAACAGAAGACCAAATATCACATGTTCTTGTTTATAAGTGGGAGCTAAAAAATGGATACACACAGACATAAAGATGAAAACAATGGGTGCTGGAGACTCCAAAAGTGGGAAGGGAAGGAGGAAGCCAAGGCTTCAAAAACCATCTACATACTATGTTACTGTGGTACTGTGTTCACTAGTTGGGTAATGGGTTCAATAGAAGACCAGACTCCAGCATTATGCAATATATCCATGTAACAAACTTGCACAGGTACCCCCTGGATCAAAAAAAAAAAAAAAAAAAAGCCACACTGTGCTAATGCATACTCATCCACCTGATTGCCATTGAGATATTTTTCCACATTACAGCCTTTGATAAGACACAGAAGAGATCTGGCACGGCGCCTCACGCCTGTAATCCCAGCAGTTTGGGAGGCTGAGGCTGCTGGATCACAGGGTCAGGAGTTCGAGACCAGCCTGGCCAACATGGTGAAACCCTGTCTCTATGAAAAATACAAAAATTAGCTGGGTGTGGTGGTGGGTGCCTGTAATCCCAGCTACTCTGGAATCTGAGGCAGGAGAATCATTTGAACTCGGGAGGTGGAGGTTGCAGTGAGCCAAGATCGCAGCACTGCCACTCTAGCCTGGGTGACAGGGTGAGATTCCATCTCAAAAAAATACAATAAAAAAGGGCACAGAAGAACACAAGTGGCATAGTTGCTCCTTTACTGTAATTCTGCATATTAATGATCTTTTTCTGCAATTTATCACATGTTCCTAAGCTGTGAACTCTGTGGGGAAAGTAACTGAGGTAGTTCACCTAACTATTAATGTATTCTGAGTGCAATGCCTGACACACAGGTATTTTGAGAATATCCATCAAATGAATAAATAAGAGGTAGGATTTTAGAGCATTATATAAGAGTGTATATTTACAAGATGACTAAGTCAGCTCCATCTTAACCACAATAATTTTTAGTTTTTAAAAATGTTACTTGAAAATGTTATTAGAGAAGTAATTAGTGTCTTCTGAGCACTTAACTAGGGGTGAACACTGATCAAATTGCTTTGTAAGTATTAACTCATACTATTATCTCAATACTCTGAGACAAACAAATTTTAAGGGTCAGATTTTAAACTTTGCAGTCGAATCTCTATTGCAACTACACCATTCTGCCATTGTAGCATAAAAGCAGTCACAGACAATATGTAAAGGAATAGATGTGGCTATGTTTTAATAAAACTTTATTTACAAAACCAGAAGGCAGGCCAGACTTGTGTCTTTCCAACCTCTGCGTATTTTCAAATGAAGCACCATGATGTTAAAATCTGGACCCCAAATCGCACAGCTAGTAAAAAATATAATTGGATTTGAACCTAAACTAGCTCCAGAAAATGTACTTACTCTTAACCATAAAACTATACTGTTTCTCTCAGGGAAAAACAAACAAACAAACAAAAAACAGAGTGATTTGTAACTTTCTAGCTGTGTGATCATAGTGTTTTAGGGTTAACAGGAGACTTACAGAACCATCTAGCTTTAAATCTTCCTGGATAATATGGCCGTGATCATGATAAAGATAAAACTGAACATTGTTCTCTGAGTGATTAATCCAAAATCTTTTATATGTTTTATCTTGCTAAGTTCTAACTAAATCCTATGACAAGGCCCCTGTTTTGGAGAGGAAGTTTAAAAAGAGGAAGTCACAAGAGATCTATTGTAAAACATGGTGATCATAGTTGCATGCTAACAATGTATGTATTCTTAAAAACTGCTAAAAGAATAGGTTGTTAGTGTTCTCACCACACACACAAAAATAATAAGACTGAGTATGTGAGATAATGCAAATGTTAATTAGATCAATTAAGCCAGTGTACAACATATACATACTTCAAAACATGCTGTACAGAGAAAAAACATATATATATATATATATATATATATATATAATTTGTATTTTTCAGCTTAAAAAATCAATTTAAATAAAAGAGGAAGTCACTTCAACAAGGTCTTACAGCAAGTAAGGTGAAGAGTAGAGATGCAAGTGAAGATCAATGCAGCAAACCCAATGCCCATCAAAAATTCAAGCTTCTTCTGCACCCTCAAATCCAGAGTACAGATTTGTCACTAGTAAGTGGCTTCCCAGCCGGAGACTACATTTCCCAACTACCCTTGCAGTTATGTGTAATCATGTGACCGAGTCCTAGCCAATAGAGTGTGAGGGGAAGTGATATACACCACTTCCTAGTGTGGCCCCTGTTAATCTCCCCTCGTGAGACTCAACCATGCTGTTTTCCCCCTCCCTGTTGGCTGAAATACGGATACCAGGATGACTTTGGAAGCTATGTGTTGAAAATGAAAGAGCTTCCCTCAGTCTGAGGGTGCAGGATGACACTCTGCAGACCTGTTTGCTCACCCACTACTGATACTAAGGAAAAAAAATAATTCCTACTGTAGCAAGCCTGTGGCATTCTGAAATTGATCCTAACAACCACTAATGTTACCCTTTTTTTTTTTTTTTTTTTTTTTTTTTTGAGACGGAATCTAGCTCTCTTGCCAGGCTAGAGTGCAGTGGTGTGGTCTTGGCTCACTACAATCTCCACCTCCTGGGTTCAAGCAATTCTCTTGCCTCAGCCTCCCAAGTAGCTGGGAATACAGGCACGCAACACCACGCCCAGATAATTTTTGTATTTTTTGTAGAGACAGGGTTTCACCATGTTGGCCAGGATGGTCTCGATCTCTTGACCTCATGATCTGCCTGCCTCAGTCTCCCAAAGTGCTGGGATGACAGGCATGAGCCACCAGCCCTGGCCATATTACTATATTTAATACCATCAGCCTGACACCCAATCACTTTGCTACATGCCCCCTCAGAATGTGAGGGTCTTGTTCCAACTTATGTAGGAGAACAAGTGAAATGGAGCTCATACTTTTTTCCTCTCTACATGGCTGGATTCATTATGACAATGAGGTAATTTGGGTAAATTACCTACCTCAGGCTCAGTTCTATTGATGCCTGTCAGGAACAGGAGGTGAGCCAGGAAGAGGCAGAGGGAGAGCTGTAGGTGGAGGGAGGTGCTGGTGTTCTGGATGGGCCGGCAGAGGAGGAAGGTGAGGATGGCCAGGAAGAGGCACAACAGAGAGATGACCAGCCCCACCTGGGTGATCACGGTCAGCACCGCGTCCTCCTGCAGGACATCAAAGGAGGAATCCATTATAGTGTCCAATGGTGGTGTTAGATTTCCAAGACAGTGTCAGATGGGTTTCCTAGTTCAGTCCCTGAAACAATTGACTTTACCTCTCTGAGACTTAGTGTTCTCATCTTCAGAATGTGGATAGTGATAACACTTACCACACAGGAATGTTAAAAACCAAAACAACTAGACCAGTGCTGGATATAGCTTTCAACAAATGACTAGTGGTAGTTGGTATATAAATACCCCAGCTTCCTTGCTGCTCAGCTAGAATGACCCAGAGATGTGAGCTCTACACTGACCTACAGTGCTAACTGGCTTGATAATGCTCTCTGCACTGACATCTGTCTTACTCCCATCTCATTGTCCCAGTCCCCTACTAGTGTTTCCTGTAATCCCTTCTCAAATAAGCTACTGCCACTTGACTCCTTGCCTTAGAATCGTTTCTCTTTTTTTACATGGAGTCTTAAGCTGTCACCCAGGCTGGAGTACAGTGGCGCGGTCTCGGCTCACTGCAAACTCTGCCTTCTGGGCTCACCCAATTCTCCTCCCTCAGCCTCCTGAGTGGCTGGGATTACAGGTGTGCACCACCATGCCTAGCTAATTTTTGTGTGTTTTAGTAGGGATGGGGTTTCATCATGTTGGCCAGGCTAGTCTTAAACTCCTGACCTCAAATGATCCCCCCACCTCAGCCTTCCAAAGTGCTGGGATGGCAGGCGTAAGGCACCATGCCCCGCCTTTAGAATCTGTTTGTAAGAAATGCAGAGGATGACTCCCAGCTTCCTGGACATACACAGGTTCACAGGAATGAATCTTGTTACCTTGGGGGCAAGGGCCAGGAGAACAGCAAAGCTGGATAGGTGGAAGCACTTGCATTTGGTGTAAGAATTGTTGCTGTGCACATGAGAGCAGCCTTCTCTCGACCAGCTGCCTCCCTCTGATCCCTCCCAGGAGACACAGATATGCTTTGTTCTCTCGTCACCAGGCTGGAAAGAGAATAGCATGAAAGTGGGACTCTTCCTGGTTTGATTTTTTAAAATTTTTCTTTTATTTTGAGACAGAGTCTCACTCTGTCGCCCCGGCTTGAGTGCAGTGGTGCGATCTCAGCTCAATGCAACCTCCAGCTCCCAGGTTCAAGTGATTCTCCTGCCTCAGTCTCCCAAGTAGCTGGGATTACAGGCACCCACCACCACGCCTGGCTAATTTTTTTTTTTTGAGTTGGAGTTTTGCTCTTGTTGCCCAGGCTGGAGTACAATGGCACAATCTCAGCTCACCACAACCTCCGCCTCCCGGGTTCAAGCGATTCTCCAGCCTCAGCCTCCCCAAGTAGCTGGGATTACAGTCATGCACCACCATGCCCGGCTAATTTTTTGTATTTTTAGTAGAAATGGGAGTTTATCCATGTTTGTGAGGTTGGTCTTGAACTCTTGACCTCAGGTGATCCGTCCGTCTCAGCCTCCCAAAGTGCCGGGATTACAGGTGTAAGCCACCATGCCTGCCCTCCTGGTTTTATTTTATTTTATTTTATTAAGACAGAGTCTTGCTCTACCACCCAGGCTAGAGTGCAGTGGTGTGATCTCAGCTCATTGCAACCTCCACCTCCCAGGTTCAAGCAATTCTCCTGCCTCAGCCTCCCAAGTAGCTGGCACTATGGGTATGCACCACCACGCCCGGCTAATTTTTGCATTTTTAGTAGAGATGGGGTATCACCGTGTTAACCAGGCTGGTCTTAAACTTCTGACCTCAGGTGACCCACCCACCTCAGCCTCCCAAAGTGCTGGGATTACAGGTGTAAGCCAATGTGCCCAGCCTGTTATTTCAACTTTATAGGTTAATCACAATGCACAGTATTGGGAACTGGATTGGAAATACACTTGTAGGGGAAGAGTTTCACATCACCACACCTGCAGTGGGTACATTCTTCATCTATTCTGCCCTTCTTTGGTCAGCTTTGTGCCCTGGGATTGACCCTGTGAATGGCTTCAGCAGCTTCCTTGCTAGTTATAGAACCAAAGAGAGACACTGGTGAGACTCAATGGGTGAGAGAAGAGAGAGAAATAAAGTATTTCTTCCCTGGGCGCTTTCTGCTTTAAGCTGTCTCTGTCTTCTACAGAGTCATTCCTTATTCCTGCCTCCAGCTTCCATTGCGCCCAATAAAGCTTCTCCTATGTTGCCTTTTGGCTTTAATGTGAGAATGGCATCTTTGGATGCCGCAACATTTCATTTCTTCCCAAGATTTATTGAAGTGTGACTGACAAAAAAAAAAAAAATGAAAAGTTTTGATAGATGTATAAATTGTAAAATGGTTACCACAATTAAGCTAACACATCCAGCACCTCACATGGTTTGTGTGTGTGGTGAATTCACTTGAGATGCACTCTGTCAGCAGACCTCAAGTATACCATACATTATTATCCCCAAGTGTAGATACATTAAGTAAGGTACATAAGGCCGGGCACGGTGGCCCACACCTGTAATCCTAGCACTTTGGGAGGCCGAGATGAAGAGATCACCTGAGATCAGGAGTTTGAGACCAGCTTGGCCAACATGGTGAAGCCCCGTCTCTACTAAAAATACAAAAATTATCTGGGGGTGATGGCAGGTGCTTGTAATCGTAGCTGCTTGTTGAGGGAGGCAGGAGAATTGCTTGAACTCAGGAGGTTGAGGTTGCAGTGAGCTGAGACTGTGCCATTGCACGTAAGCCTGGGCAACAAGAGTGAAACTTCATTTTCAAATAATTTTTTTTTAAAGTGTGGGACGTTAGGTCACCAGAACGTATCCATCTTATAACTTAAAGCTTATACCCTTTAGCAAATACGTCCACATTCTCCCGGTGCCCCAGCTTCTGTTGAACCATTCTACTCTCTATTACTATGAGTTTAAGTTTTTATTTCTTAGATTCCAGATATAAATAAGATAATGAAGGATTTCTTTTTTATGTCTGGCTAAGTTTAATTAGGAAAATAGTTCTCCAGGTTTACCCAGGTTGTTACAAGGGGCAGGATTTTCTTCTTTTTTTGAGGCTGAATAATATTCCAGTATATATATAACATTTTCTTGGCCAGGTGCAGTGGGTCATGCCTGTAATCCCAGCACTTTGGGAGGCCGAAGTGAGCAGATCACCTGAGGTCAGGAGTTCAAGACCAGCCTGGCCAACATGGTGAAACTCTGTCTCTGCAAAAATTAGCCGGGCATGATGACAGGTACCTGTAATACCAGCTACTCGAGAGGCTGAGGTGGGAGGATTGCTCGAACCCAGTAGGCAGAGATTTCAGTGAGCTGAGACTGCACAATCGCACTCCAGCCTGGGCAACACAGCAAGACTCTGTCTCAAAAAAAAAAAAATTGGCCAGGTGTGGTGGCTCACGCCTGTAATCCCAGCACTTTGGAAGCCTGAGGCAGACAGATTACCAGAGGTCAGGAGTTCAAGACCAGCTTGGCCAACATGGTGAAACCCTGTCTCTACTAAAAATACAAAAATTAGCTGGGCGTGGTGGCACATGCCTGTAATCCCAGCTGGGGCAGGAGAATCGCTTGAGCCCAGGACACAGAGGTTGAAGTGAGCTGAGATTGTGCCGCTGCACTCCATCCTGACTGACAGAGCGAGACTCTGACTCAAAAAAAGAAAATCTTTATTTGTTGACAGATACTTAAGCTGTTTGCATATCTCAGCGATTGTTACCAATGCTGCAATAAACAAGGGAATGGGAAGGCAGTTGTCTCTCTGAGATCCTGATTTCAATTATTTTGGCCATATACCCAGAAGTGAGATATCTGGAGCATACGATAATACCCAGAAGTAGGTGAAACATTGGGCCATGAGGGTAAAACCCAGCCTGCCACCTGCTTTTGTAAATAAAGTTTTATTGGTGCACAACCACACTCCTTCACTGACACATCATCAATGGCTGCTTTCACACTCTGATGGCAGAATTGAGTGGTTATGATGAAGATCATCAAGAACAAAAAACCTAACATATTTACTCTCTGGACCTTGTAGAGAACAAGTTTGCCAATCTGTGGGAGAGAACAAGACTGGTGACTCCTTTAAAAAGGGTGTTCATAAACGCTTCTCAAGGGAGTGTTCAAGGTAATCTGACGCCATTGAGTGTTACCTTTTCAGACTGTCACATGAAAACAGGATGCATCAGATAATTCTGCTGGAAAATGTAATTCTGTTTATAGTTTTTTGAGAAGCCTCTATACTGTTTTCCATAATGGCTGTGCCAGGTTACATTTTCACCAGCAGATCTATAAGGGTTTCTTTTTTACTGCCACATACTGATATTTTAAGCTTTTGAAAATAGCCATCCTCACCATGGTGAAGCAAAATCTCATTGAAGACAACTCAGCATTTCTTGTCTGCTCTCTTACTTCTGAATTCCGTTTCCTACTTGGGAAACTGATCATACCTGCTCACGCTTTAAGGTACTGCACAGAGAACCAGCTCTGTGTTTTTCCTCACCTGATGATGCTGAAAAGTCAGGAAAACAGGTTCAGACAGGTAAACTTTTTCCTTCAAACCAATGGTGCCACTCACAACATGAGAGTTCAGTTTTACTTCCTCCATTCCTTTTCTTTTACTAAAAAAGGATGCATTCAGAATATTCCCAAGAGACTGATACGTGATAAGGGCAACTGCCATGCTCTCTGAGAAAATGGAAGAGAAATACTGTTAGTGGCTATCTGTAGTTCAGGGAGAAGGTACAGTAGTGTCTATTGTGAGGGTCGGAAGGCAGGCAATGAATGGTTAAAACTGCCCTTGGAAATCCTTAAATGCCATTCAATACGCTATGTGTGGCTTGGGGTGCCGCATTTTCATCTACATAATACATATTATAATGCCCCACACATTAAAAGAGGTATATGTGCAAAATATGCTCCTCAGTGAGTCCTAAAAATATATCCTAGCCCTTGAGTATTACAGCCAGAGTTGTGAGGCAAGATGCTTGTCCTCAGAAGGGTAAGTGGAACTCAGGCAGGCCAAGAGGTCCACACTTTCAGCCGGGTGCAGTGGCTCGCGCCTGTAATCCCAGCACTTTGGGAGGCCGAGGCAGGGGCATCACCTGAGGTCAGAGTTCGAGACTAGCCTGGCCAGCATGGTGAAGCCCTGTCTCTACTAAAAATACAAAAAATTAGCCAGACATGGTGGTGGGCACTTGTAATCCCAGCTACTTGGGAGGCTGAGGCAGGAGAATCACTTGAACCCGGGAGGCAGAGGTTACAGTGAGCCAAGGTCATGCCACTGCACTCCAGCCTGGGCAACAGAGTAAGAGCCTATTTCAACAAACAACAAAAAAAACCACACTGTCTCAGCCTTTGCCCTCAAGCTTACTCTAGTATATCTAATTTAGTGGAAAAGTATACAGAATGACCTACTGTGTTTAATTAATTCACTCATTTCTCTCTCTCTCTCACTTTCATCTTATCACCCTTCCTCTCCCTCTCTTTCTTTTCCTTCTTCCCTTTTCATGAAGGCACAGTTTAATTTATAGAGGTTTAGGCCAGGCATGGTGGCTCACGCCAATAATCCCAAAACTTTGGGAGGCTGAGGCAGGTGGATCATCCAAGGTCAGGAGTTCAAGACCAGCCTGGCCAACATAGTGAAACCCTGTCTCTCCTAAAATTACAAAAATTCACTGGTGTGGTGGCGGGCATTTGTAATCCCAGCTACTTGGGAGGCTGAGGCAGGAGAATTTCTGGAACCCAGGAGGCGGCGTTGCAGTGAGTTGAGGTGGCACTACTGCACTCCAGCCTGGGAAACAGAATGAGAATCCAATTCAAAAAATATATATATGTATGTCATAGAGGCTCAATGCACACAGGATGCCCTGTAGGGTGATGGGAGTGTTTCCAAAATTGCTGTTATCCACATGCTACCATCCCATTTTTTGCCAAAGCCACTTCTCATCTGTATTTCTATTTGCTCCATCTAAAATGTCAACTCATTTTTAGATCCCTTCCTTCCCTTTCCCTACTGTACAGCTCACAGTAAGGAGTGAAGATTAATGAATAGCCAGGAATTTTTTGAAAGAAATGCAGCAGATACTTCATTTTCAAGGTAACCAGATTTTTCTCTTGGAAATAGTTTATATGCATTTCTTCATTTATCTTTCATGGAAATATTTTTCCTCTACTGTGAGCCAGGCATTCTAGGAATTATTATACAGCATTGAACAAAATGGACAAAACTCCTGCCATCAGAGAGTTGATGTTGTAGTGAGGGAGATGGGCAACCAATAAATAAATAAATTAGAAAAACTACATAGAGCAGGAGCTTTGCAGAGACTTCAGATGATGAGATAAAGCAGGGGTGAAACACTGTGCCATGAGGGTAAACCTAGCCTGCCACTGGCTTTTGTCAGTAAAGTTTTATTGACACACAGCCACATTCCTTCACTGACACATCATCAATGACTGCTTTCACACTCTGATGGCAGAGTTCAGTAGTTACGGCAAAGATCATCAGGAATAAAAAGACTAACAAATTTACTCTCTGGACCTTGTAGAGAACAAGTTTGCCAGTCTGTGGGAAAGAACAAGACTGGGTGACTCCTTTAAAAGGGGTGTTTATAAACTCTTCTCAAGGGAGTGTTCAAGGCAATCTGATACCGCTGAGCGTCATTGGGAAACAGGGCATGCAGCAGCCAGTCCCTCCTCCCCCCCCCTTTTTTTTGAAAGAGAGTCTCGCTCTGTCACCCAAGCTGGAGTGTAATGGTGCAATCTTGACTCACTGCAACCTCCACCTTCTGGTTCAAGTAACTCTCCTCCTTCAGCCTCCCAAGTAGCTGGGATTACAGGCATGCACCACGCCTACCCAGCTAATTTTTGTATTTTTAGTAGAGACGGGGTTTCACCATGTTAGCCAGGCTGGTCTCAAACTCCTGACCTCATGATCCACCTGCCTCACCCTCCCAAAGTGCTGGGATTACAGGCATGAGCCACCATGCCTGGCCCAGCCAGTCCCTTTTAAGGAGGCTTTTCAAGGAATCCCTATGCAACCTCTATGTATGTCACAAAGTACACACCCCATATGACAGCCTGACTTCTCCCTGCAAAATGCCTAGTTAGTGGTAAAGGAAGAGCTTTTTATTCCACCATATAGAATTTCCCTATCTTGAAAGCTTTGTGAATTCCCACCCCAGAGTTTAATCACTTAGAAATAAAACGATGATGCATAGAATTTGGAGTCAAGAGAGTTCATTGGAGACATGGTACCTCTTAGGGTTCCTTTGAAAGCATCAGCACAGTTGATATCCATGGTGTTATTTCCAGCTTCCAGAAAAGTGTTCTCTCTTGTCTCGTTGCACCTCTTGGTTTCATAGACTGGAAACATTAAGAAAGTCAGTCCTGTTCTCAATTCTCATGCCTAAATAATTTGCTGAAGAACTCCCTTCTCTGGAAGACCCCCTATTGGTGATTCCATCTCCCCTCTACAAGGTTGGCCACATGGTACTTTTTTCCCATCTTTGGCTGGTAGAAGTAAAGTGGCCAAAATGGCTTTAGCAACACACTGGCCACAATTCAAGAGAAGAGAGGAGAAGAGCATGCTTCCCAGAACTGGTACTCTGATGGGCAAGCTAAGCAGTTTTTACAGGACACTTAGTGGTACTGGAGTGCCTGGTTATGGGGAATGCAGTCTTTATAAGCAAGAGTAGCTGAGCATTTAAAAGCTTTCAAAAAAAAATAGCCACTAGGAACAGAACTTCTGTATTTGGGAAGAATCTCTTGAGTAAACTCTATTCATCAAACCTGTAAACATAAGATCTGATCATTTTGTGAGGTCAACCTCTACATTTTAGGGTATACAGTGTTTGTCTCTGGACAAATAAGAAAACTGTCTTGGGGCTATGACAGACTGCTTATTACCTGTGATCACCATTTACCTATTCTTTCTTTGGGTCTAGAACTACCAAATTTAAGCTGAAGGCAAGCCATTTTTCCGCTTCCCTTGCAGCTAGGTGGAGCCATGCAATTCTTTTCAGGCCAGTGGATCAAAGAACAAAATGGCATGTGCTAAAGGAAGCAGGCATCCTTTCAACTTCTCTTTTCCCCTTTGCATTGGCTGGTAAAAGGACATGTTAGCTCTCTTGTAACACAAGGTGAAGGCAAATGTTGAAGACGGCAGACCATAGAGCTGCCATGGAACTGCTGCATCGCCCTGACTGACTTATGCTCAAACTATTCAAGAAATGTGGTTAAGCCACTGTTTGCCACAGTTATACCACCAGATTTGGTATGTTAATTCAGACACCAAGTTCACAGGGAACATTTGCCAAAATAGACTATCAATCAAGTCCCAATGAATTAAAAGGATTGAAATCCTACATAGTATGTGCTCAGTCAATTCATCAAAGAGAGTATATATCACAACTATTTTTTCCTGGTAAGCAAGTCTGGTTTAACACATGCAAATCAGTCAGTGGGATTCATCACATGAACAGAATGAAAAATAAAAACCATCTCAGTTGATGATAAAATGATCATCTCAATTGAGGTAGAAAAAGCGTTTGACAAAGTTCAACATCCTTTCTTGATTAAAACTCACAATAAATTAAATGAGGTCATTAACACAGGAAATCGAAAAAAGCCACAAATATTTTGATAAACAGCACACTTCTAAATAATCCATGAATTAAATGATAAATTATATAGAAAATGTTTTAACATTTTGATCTAAATGGTAATGGAAGCCCAGTATATAAAAACTTGGAGGATGCAGCCAAAGCAGTGCTTAGAGGGAAATATATAGCTCTAGTTTGTAGCTAAGTTTTAAGCTTTAAATGCATATGTTGGGAATAGAGAATGGTTTAAAATTAGTAATCTATATACCAAGTCAACAAGTTAGAAAATGCAAAGCAACCTCCACCCAAAGAAAGTAAATGGAAAGAAATAATAAAGAACAAAAATCTGAGAAAAAGGAAATGGCATAATAATATAATCAATCAACAAAGCCAAATACTGGTCTTTTAGAATGATTAACATACAAAGGTCAGGAAGAAACCACAGTTCTAATATAGAGTTCCTAAAACCCTTACAGTTTCCTGAACAATAGGAACACTAGGAAAATCTCCTGTTCTGATATTTGGTCTTGGACTCAAGTTGCTGTGACGTAATAGCCCTTGAGATGGTTGTAATTTCCTGAGTGACAGGAGCGTGTGACTCAACTCTTACTTCCTTTGTAATTTCTTGGTTATAGAAACATCTTTTATTCTAATGTGGTACCTCTTAGCCAGCTCCTGGATAGCCTCAGGTTGAGGGTGGTTGACAAGGAAAGCAATGGTAAGATTAAAAGGTTGAAACTTTCAGTTTCACCCCCATTCCAGATACAGGAAGAGGAGGGGGGCTGAATATTGAGTTGGTGTCAGCGGCCAATAATGTAACCACTCATGCCTAATTAATAAAGCCTCCATGCACATCCAAAAGATTTGTTAAACTCTCTAGGAGATTCTAGATAGCTTAACTATCTAGATAGGGTCTCTAGAGTGGCAACCCTAAAGAGAGCTTGGAAGCTCTGAACCTCTTCTCCCATACTTTGCCCTGTGCAGCATCTCTGTCATCCGGCTGTTCATCTGTTTCATTTATAATATATAGACTTTTATATATATATATAATTTTTTTTTGAAATGAAGTCTCACTCTGTTGCCCAGGCTGGAATGCAGTAGTGCCATCTGGGCTCACTGCAACCTCTGCCTCCTGGGTTCAAGCGATTCTTCTGCCTCAGCCCCCTGGGTGGCTGGAGATACAGGCACTTGCCACCATGTCCAGCTAATTTTTGTATTTTTTTTTTTATGTAGAGATGGGGTTTCACCATGTTGGCCAGGCTGGTCTTGAACTTCTGACCTCAGGTCATCTACTTGCTTTGGCCTCCCAAAGTGCTGGGATTACAGGCGTGACCCACCATACCCAGCCCATTTATAATATATATTTAATAAATGGATAAATGTAAGTAAAGTACTTTCCTGGGTTAAGTGAATCACTCTAGCAAATTACTCAAACCCAAGGAAGGGGTTGTGGGACTCTAATGTATAGCCTATCAGTCAGATGTACAGGTTACAACCTAGAACTTGAGACTGGCATTTGAGGTGAAGCACACTTTTGTGGGACTAAGCTCGCAGCCTGTGGGATCTGATACTATCTTTGGTAGATAATGTCAGGTAACGTCATAATTGAATTATAGGACACCCAGCTGGCATCCACTAGAGAACTGTGTGGTCAGCATGGAGGAGGAAGCCACACATGTTTTGGTAACCAGAGATGAAGTATGCTGTGTTCTTGTTACTATATGAGAGCAGAATAGAAAAATAACCATAGTTTTTTCTTTTCTTTTCTCTTCTTTTTTTTATTTTTTATTTTTTATTTTTGAGATAAAGTCTCACTCTGTGGCAGAGGCTGGAGTGCAGTGGTGTGATCTCGGTTCACTGCGACCTCCACCTCCTGGGTTCAAGTGATTCTGCTGCCTCTGCCTCCTGAGTAGCTGGGATTACAGGCACCCATCACCACACCCAGCTAATTTTTTTACTCTTAGTAGAGACAGGGTTTCACCATGTTGCCCAAGCTGGTCTCAAACTCCTGACGTAAGATGATCCTCCTGCCTCAGACTCCCAAAGTGCTAGGATTACAGGCATGAGCCACCACACCCAGCCAACTAAGAGTTTTTCTATCCTCTAGCTGTGGTGGCAAGGCAAATGCTCTTAAATACTTCTCATCATACCAAGGGAAGTTGAAAAGAAGAAGAGAGCTAGTTTATTCTCTTGTCCCTTGAATTTGCATTTTTTTTTTTTTTTTTTTTTGAGACGAAGTTTCACTCTTGTCACTCAGGCTGGAGTGCAATGGCGCGATCTCGGCTCACCGCAACCTCCGCCTCCTGGGTTCAAGCAATTCTCCTGCCTCAGTCTCCCGAGTAGCTGGGATTACAGGCACGTACCACCATGCCCAGCTAATTTTTTGCATTTTTAGTAGAGACGGGGTTTCACCGTGTTGACCAGGATGGTCTCGATCTGTTGACCTCGTGATCCACCCGCCTCGGCCTCCCAACGTGCTGGGATTACAGGCGTGAGCCACTGCGCCCAGCCGAATTTGCATTTTTGTCAAGAGTCCTCATGTAAAATGCTGACATACAGGGTCTGTGATGCTGAGAGTCCACAGATTTCATCATTCATAAACCATAACGATGTCAAGACCTAGACTTCTTTATGGTCTCAATGGAGTTCATAAAGACTCTACTCAGCCTCTCTTACCTAGATCAAATTCAGAAATTTGATCCTTCTTTGGAGAAGCAAAAGTCGCATTCCAGATGCTCAGCTCTATATTCTGAATTAGTTGGGTAACTTTTCTTGCAAATTCCTTTCTGCTTGCATTTCTTCTCAGATTTTCCTTCAAAAAAAAAAAAAAAAAGCTAATTAGATTGACTCTCATGGAAATGTCAGAAATCAGGAATATGCACACGTGTTGGAGCAGGAAGCCCAGAAGGCAGCAGCCATATTTGTTAAGATGCCATGAGGTGTGTGTGGCATTGAGAATCTAGGTGCTTGATGTAGATCTTTGAATGACAGCTGAGGCACTTTCCCCTTACTGCTGTATTTCTCTATCTCCTTTTTTTTTTTTTTTTTTTTTTTGATGGTGTTTCACTCTGTCACCTAGGCTGGAGTGCAGTGGTGTGATCTTGGCTCACTGCAGTCCCCACCTCCCTGGTTCAAGCAATTCCCTTACCTCAGACTCCCAAATAGCTGGGATTGCAGGTGCACGCCACCATGCCTGGCTAATTTTTTTGTATTTTTAGTAGAGACGGGGTTTCACTATGTTGGTCTGGCTGGTCTCAAACTCTTTGACCTTGTGATCCACCTGCTTTCGCCTCCCAAAATGCTGGGATTACAGGCATGAGCCATCTCCGCACCCAGCCTGTATTTCTTTATCTCTATGGACATGTGGCACCAGGCACTTCTTGATTGTGGGAGGCTGCACCGGGCAATGTAGGATGTTGAGCTGTATGTATCCCTGGTCTCTATCAGATGCCAGTCATGTGTATCACCCTCAAGGCATGACAATCAAGAGTGTCCCCACACATTTGACAGATGACTGTTGGACAGAGGACAGAATTACCCCTGGATAGAACTACCCTACCCTGAAAATGACAGGAAGCCATGTTAATATATGTAGGAGAATGACATAGTTATACATACCAGCTGTTTCTGAAATCCAGGCTTCTCCCTACTCACCCAAATATCCACGTTTGACTGTGTCCCTTGATTATTGTTGTCCTCTGTGAAAGAAAGGTGTCATTGAAAGGGATATGGGAGGAAACACACCTGCTTACATCCGTTCTTCCAGTCATCCTCAAGTTGAGTCTTCCCCCTGATACTTCCACAGCCCATCCTAATTCCCCTCTAAGAAGCCTATAAAGTATTGCACAGTAGAATTATCAAAGAGAATTGGAATGGGGCTTCCAGTTTAATATTGAGTTGGTGCAAAAATAATGGCGATCTTTGCCAATGAAAGTAATGGCAAAAACAGCCATTACATTGTACCAACCTGTTACTTTAGTTACCACTATTTATTGAACACCACTTAAAACCAGGCACAATGCTGAAATATATGGATATGAGCTAGGAAAAGAAACCAGGCCAGGCGCAGTGGCTCATGCCTGTAATCTCAGCACTTTGGGAGGCCAAGGCAGGTGGACCACCTGAAGTTAGGAGTTTGAGACCAGCTGGGCCAACATGGTGAAACCCCATATGTACTAAAAATATAAAAATTAGCCAGACATGGTGGCGGGTACCTATAATCCCAGCTACTCAGGAGGCTGAGGCAGGAGAATCACTTGAACCCGGGAGGTGGAGGTTGTGGTGAACCAAGATTGCATCATTGCACTCCAGCCTGGGCAACAAGAGTGAAACTCCATCTCAAAAAAAGAAAGGAAGAGAAAGGAAGGAAAGGGGAGGGGAGAGGGAAGAGAGCAGGGGAGAGAGGGGAGAGGAGGGGAGAGGGAGGGAGGAGCAGAAGGAAGGAGAGGGGAGGAGAAGGGAGGCAAGGAAACAGAAAGGGAAGGAAGTGAATGGAAGGGAAGGGGAGGGGACCAAGGATGTCCCCTTGTGGAATCTGAAGTCTGGCAGGAAAGTCATGAAGCAGTTACTATGAATAAATAATTAAGTGATTGCAAGGAACGCTCTTAATCAATAGAACATGACACGTGGACAAAAAGATGGGAACTGTAGACACTGGGGACCACTAGAGGGAGAGGGTGGGAGGCTGACAAGGGCTGAAAATCTTCCCACCGAGTACTATGCTCACTACCTGGGTGACGGGAGCATTCATACACCAAACCCCAGAGACACACAATTTACCCACACAACAAACCTGCACAGGTACCACGCCCGAACCTAAAATAAAATAAAAGCAGACTTCCCAAAATCAATCAATCAATTAGTGATAAATAGGACGTGATGGTGTGGGAGTATGTAGCAGAGGGTCTCAATACATCAGGGTGACATGGAAGAAATCAGTGTTCATTGAGTTAATAATATAGAGGAGGTTGTCTACACATCACAGTATATAAAGTGGCTTCATATATATTATGTCATTTCAAGAAACACCGAAGTTTGTAAGGTTGTAGAAAAGGCATATACAGCGTAATAGCCAGTATTAGCTGACCCTTTCTAGGTGCCTAGGACTGCTAAGTATTTTACATATATTAATAATGAGTAGAGGCCAGGGGCAGTGGCTCACGCCTGTAATCCTAGCACTTTGGGAGGCCAAGGTAGGTGGATTATTTGAGGTCAGGCATTCAAGACCAGTGCAGGCAACATGGTGAAACCCTGTCTCTACCACAAATGCAAAAATTAGCCAGGCTTGGTAGTGCATGCCTGTAGTCCCAGCTACTCAGGAGGCTGAGGTGGGAGGATCGCTTGAGCCTGGGAGGCAGAGATTACAGTGAGTCAAGATTGCACCACTGCACTCCAGCCTGGGTAACAGAGTGAGACCCCATCTCAATAATAATAATAATAAAATAATAATAATAAAATAATGAATAGGTAATGTATATTAATTTGCAAGGTTTGTCATAATATAGTGACACAAATTGGATGGCTTAAAGCAACAGCAATGTATTGTTTCATAGTGCTGGAGGCCAGAAGTCCCAATCAAGGTGCTGGCAAGACCATGCTCCCTAGGAAGGCTCCAGGGAAACACCCTGCCCTGCCTCTTCCAGCTTCTGGCGGTTGCCATCAATCTCTGTCACTCCTTGCCCCTTGGGAGCATAACTCCAATCCTCACCTACGTCTTCACATGGCCATCTTCCCTCTATGTGTGTCTCAGTGTCCAGATATCCTTCATCTTATAAGGACATCGCCACAGAGGAATCAGAGTCCACTCTGATCTAGTATGACTGCGTCTTGACTTATTACATCTACACATACCCTATTTCCAGATAAGATGACATTCACAGATTCCAGGTGGACAGGAATTTGGGGAGAACACTATTCAGCCCAGTAAGCAGGATTCAGAAATGGCTCCCAATAATCCCTCCCTCTTGGCATTCACATCCTTGGGTAATCTTCCCTTGACTGTGGACTGGACCCACTGACTCATTTCTAATAAACAGAATACAGTGATAGAATGTCACTTCTGAGAATGGAACAAAAGACTGTGACCCCGGTCTTATTCTTGCTCTCTTTCTGGCTATGCTAATGTGTTTGCATAACAAAGCAACCTGTAGAGACCCACAGGTCTAGGAACTAAAGGCTGCCTCCCACCAACCACTGGAAATGAACTGAGGGTTTCAGTCCAATAGCTCTGAAGGAAATGAATTCTCCCAGAAACCTTTTGAGTAGCTTGGAAGCAGGATCTGCCCCAGTTGAGCCTCCAGATGAAATCACATCCTGGACAAAACCTCAACTGCAACTGTGATAGACCCAGAAGAAAAAGACCCAGCTAAGCCATACTAAGTTCCTTGACCCCAAGAAACTATGGAACAATACATATGTGTTGTTTTAGGCCACTAAATGTGAGGGTAACTTGTTATGCAGCAACAGTAGATACTTTTTTTTTTTTTAGACAGAGTCTCTCTCATTGCCAGGTGGGAGTGCAATGGGGTGATCTCAGCTCAGTGTAACTTCTGCCTCCTGGGTTCAAGCAATTCTCCTGCCTCAGCCTCCCAAGTAGCTGGGACTACAGATGCATGCTACCATGCCTGACTAATTTTGTGTGTGTGTATTTTTAGTAGAGACAGGGTTTCACCCTGCTGGCCAGGATGGTCTCAAACTCCTGACCTTATGATCCACCCACCTCAGCCTCCCAAAGTGCTGGGATTACAGGCATGAGCCACCACGCCTGGCAATAGATACTACTAATATTACTATTCCCATTTAAAGAGGAAGTATGTAGAAATTACATCATTAACTGAAAGCCAGAGGGTAAGTGGGAGATTTAGCATTTAAATCCAATCTCTCTTACCCAAAACATGAAATAATACTGGAATTGAACAAATTAATGATAGTGAGAGACAGATTTCTCATTGTTAGAGAAGGAAGTTACAAATAAGAACAGAAGGAAGGTTCAGACAAGCTTTGGTGTTGAGCTGGAGTGACAGCTATCAGTGTGAATTCGTCAGATTTAGTAAATAGGTAGATAGACATAAAAATTGAATTTAATATGAGTGAGATATGAATACATAGAGAAATTCAGAGGTAATTTAGAGGTGTCCTTTTGGAAGCTCAGGAAAGAGACCTGTATTGGACACATATATTTGGAAGCATCTATATAGAGATGGTTATTGCCAAGGCTTGGATGACATCATCTTGGAAAATATCAAGGACAACAAAGGAATGAGGGATGAGGGTTAGGATGGAGCTTTGCTCTCTTACCCTGGCCTGAAATTAGAAAATCTTTCAGAGTCTCCCCCAAGTCCCCATCATTTTTTATACTGGAAATAGTATTCGGAGGTTCTTACCATAACAATCTGGATTATCATTAATTAAAACACTAGCCATCCAGTTGATCAGAATACTTGGCCAACAGCTACAGATGTAACTTCCAATTTTATTGATACAGGATGCTCTATACTTGCACTTTGTCAGCCCAGTCTTACATTCATTAATATCTGTGAATCAAGAGAAAGTGTTATTTTCATTTTCATGAATTATACCATTTCTCATACCCATGAAGTCTCTTATCACCCAACACTGTTCATCAGTGTTCTCCCTAAGTTAATTTATAAATCCGATGCAATCCCAGTTTTAAAAACATCTACAAGTATTTTAAGATAAGTTGCTACTATCATGCAGGTGCAGCCAGAAAAAAAAAAAAACTGTAAAACCACACATTAAAACAAAAGCAATCCCATTACTGGGTATATACCCAAAGGAGTATAAAACATTCAGTTACAAAGACACATGCACACATATGTTTATTGTGGCACCGTTCACAATAGCAAAGACTTGGAACCAACCCAAATGTCCATCAGTGATAGACTGGATAAAGAAAATGTGGCACATATACACCATGGAATACCATGCAACCTTAAAAAAGGATGAGTTCATGTCCTTTGCAAGGACATGGAAGAAGTTGGAAACCATTGTTCTCAGCAAACTGACACAAGAACAGAAAACCACATACTGTATGTTCTCACTCATATGTGGGTGTTGAACAACGAGAACACATGGACACAGGGAAGGGGACATCACACAGGGGCAAGGGGAGGGATAGCATTAGGAGCAATACCTAATGTAGATAACGGGGGGATGGATGCAGCAAACCACCATGGCATGTGTATACCTATGTAACAAACCTGCACGTTCTGCACTTGTACCCCAGAACTTAAAGTATAATAAAAAAATTTTAATGAAAAAAAAATAAAGCTGCAACTAAGCAAAGAGGTACTGATGCATGCATAAATAAAAATAGACTAATGGAGTAGAGCAGAAGTGCAGACATAGACCCAAGTACCTATGGAGCTTTAGAACACGGTAAAGGTGATTTGTTAGATCACTAGAATAAGGATGGAATATTGTTTTTAATGGTGAGTCACACCATTTGGTGAATCAATTTAACACAACTAGTGTGTAGCAGGGGAATATATAACGCACTATTAGAAAAGCTTGAGAGAAATGAGGAAGGACCAGACTACTAAAATCCTGGCTTGGCTGGGCACGCCTGTAATCCCAGCCCTTTGGGAGGCCGAGGTGGGCGAATCACCTGAGGTCAGCAGTTTGAGACCAGCCTGGCCAACATGGTGAAATCCCACCTTTACTAAAAATGCAAAAATTTACTGGGCATGGTAGTGCACACCTGTAATCCCAGCTACTTGAGAGGCTTAGACAGGAGAATCACTTGACCCCTGGAGGCAGAAGTTGCAGTGAGCCAAGGTCACGCCATTGCACTCCAGCCTGGGTGACAGAGCAAGACTCCATCTCAAAAAAAAAAAAAAAAAAAAAAAAAAAAAAAAAAATGCTGGCTTATGCAGTGTTTATGTGTCTTGCCTCTCCCAATGACATCAGCCTTCCCTGCTGATGGACCAGAGCTGAGGATCAACCAAGGGACCCACAGATAGAAGGTGCTCTGGACCAAGGAATTAATTGTGCTCTTCATCTGAAGAACTCAGGGACAAGTATCCCCGGCCAATGGCTGTACTTTGTCACATAGTCTGCTGAAGAGATAGGAATTTTCTTTGGGCTATGGGTTTATGTGTTTGGGCCAGAGGACACATGGACCAGAATAGTTATCACTAATGAGAGATTCAATGAAAACCCCATAAATAATTTTACCTTCACATTTCTCATTGTCCTCATGAAAGTACGTCCTGCCAGACCTGGACTGAAAGCCATGTTCACAAGTACAGTGGGTGCTGTTGTGGCAGTAGGCATGTTCAGGGCATAAAGGACAGGGAACTGCAGAGAAACAATCCATTTGTTCATCTAGGAAATATTCGTCATGCATCTACCATGTACTGATGCTGTGGTTAGAAGAACGTCCTCTTGGGAAGAGCTCTGTTGGCATCCCTCTGGCACCCAGCCCACTGCTGAACACAGTGGCACACAGCACCTAACAAGATCCTACTTCTGCCACCAACACCACCTTTGCCAAATGGGTGAACCTCCAAATGCCAGCACCTGTGTTTCTTTCCTTGATGGCTCACTCTGGCTACCAGAATTCTCTCTTTTTTTTTGAGATGGAGTCTCACTCTGTCACCAGGCTGGAGTGCAGTGATGCTATCTCAGCTCACTGCAACCTCCACCTCCTGGGTTCAAGCAGTTCTCCTGCCTCAGCCTCCTGAGTAGCTGGGACTACAGGCGCACACCACCATGCCCAGCTAATTTTTGTATTTTTAGTAGAGACGGAGTTTCAGCATGTTGGCCAGGATGGTCTTGATCTCTTGACCTCGTGATCTGCCTGTCTCGGGGCCAACCAAAGTGCTGGGATTACAGGCATGAGCCACTGTGTCCAGCCTTTTTTTTTCTTTTTCTTTTTTTTTTTTTCTTTCTTTCTTTTTTTTTTTTTTTTTTTTTTGAGATGGAGTCTCTGTCGCCCAGGCTGGAGTGCAGTGACACAATCTCAGCTCACTGCAATTGATAAAAGAAGCTACTTATGAGAGGAGAGGCATTGCTAACAGGCCATATGGTGAACTAAGAGAATTCTGGGAGGCCAGGCACGGTGGCTCATGCCTGTAATCCCAGCACCTGGGTTTGAGCCACCAGGATTCAAGCAATTCTCCTGCCTCAGCCTCCTGAATAGCTGGGATTAAGGCACTTTCCACCTCACCCGGCTAATTTTTGTAGTTTTAATAGAGTCAGGGTTTCACCATCTTGGCCAGGCTGGTCTTGAACTCCTGACCTCATGATCCACCCGCCTCAGCCTCCCCAAGTGCTGTTATCACAGGTGTGAGCCACGGTGCCCGGCCTCCCAGAATTCTCTTGTTCACCACATGGCAGTTTAGCAATACCTCTTCTCATAAGTACCTCCTTTTATCCGTGATTGACAGAAGGTAGTGCATATTTTTAAAACCCCAATTTCATTATTAAAACAAAACAAAACAAAACAAAATAAACAAGTGTCAGTGAGAATGTAGAGAAAATGGAACCCTTGTGCACTGCTGGTAGAAATGCAAAATGATGCAGTCTCTATGGGGAGCCATATGGCAGTTCCTCAAAATATTAAAGGTTGGAATTATCATATGATCTTACCGTATCATCCAGCAAGCACACTTCTGGGGAAATACTCAAAGGAATCAAAAGCAGGGCATAAAAGAGATACTTGCCCACTCATGTTCATGTCAGCATTATTCATCATAGCCAAATGTATGTAACCCAGGTGCCTCTGAATGAATAGATGAATAAATGAACAGAATGTGGTCCATCCACACAATAGTAGGTTACTCAGTCTTTAGAAAGAAGGAAATTCTGGTCAGGCACAGTGGCTCACGCCTGTAATCCCAGCACTTTGGGAGGCTGAGGTGGGCGAATCACCTGAGGTCAGGACTTCGAGGCCAGCCTGGCCAACATCGTGAAACCCCATCTCTACTTAATGCCAAAAAGAAAAAAATTAGCCAGCATGGTGGTGCATGCCTGTAATCCCAGTTACTTGGGAGGCTGAGGCAGGAGAATCACTTGGAACCTGGGAGGCGAAGGTTGCAGTGAGCGAGATTGCAAAATTGCACTCCAGCTTGGGCAACAAGAGTGAAACTCAGTTTCAAACAAACAAAAAAAAAAAAAAAAAGGAAGGAAATTCTGAGACATGCTACCCCATAAATGAACCTTCAGGACATTACGCCCAGTGAAATAAGCCATTTCACAACTGCAAATCATGTATGACTCCACTCCTATGAGATGCCCAGTGTCGTTAGATTCGTAGAGACAGAAGGTAGAATGGTGGGTGCCAGGGACTTGGGGAGGAGGCATGGGGTTTAGTGCGTAATAGAGACAGAGTTTCAGTTCTGTACCTAGAAAGATCTCTGTGGGTGGATGGTGATGATGATTCCACAACAGTTTGAATGTTTAGTGGCATTGACCTGCACCCTTGCCAGTGGTTAAGAAGCTAAATTTTATATTGTGTACCTTTCACCATAATTTAGAACATAATAGAAATCAGTAGCTTCCTTACCCATTGAGGGGTTTAACTCTGAGTTGCCTGCTCCATACCATGCCCAACAGCTCCCCCCAGGGATTAAACGCCAGCTACCCATCTATAACTTGCTTGATAAAGACCCTGTATGAGCTCCTCCACTTCCTATGCCACAGCCCACTCCCAGCCGGTGCCTCCCAGGATTACCTCCCGGACCAACGAGTTGCTCTCGGTATCTGCTTCTGGGGGAACCCAGCCAATGACTTGTGGTGACAGCAAAGTATTTCCTGGAATGACTCAAGAAGACATAGGTTTTGGGAAAGAAAGAGTAGAGTCTGGTATCCACTAACCATGTGACTTTGAGCCAGCCACTTCTCCAGAGGACCCTTGATCAAGAGGGGATAATGGCCATGCTGTCTTTGTAGGAGGGTCATGGGGATTAACTGAGATGCATGTGTGATGTGCTTAGCTATGTAAATACAGGTGATGGTGAGGATGGAGATGGGAAAAAAGCTCTTGGTAGCTCCAGTGAGCCAGAAGAAAGTGCCAGAGACTCTGTGCTCTGTCTCTTGAAAAGGGTTGCTTCCCTTCCCTGAAGGAAGCTTCCAGATCCCAACTTTCTTTCCCCTGGTCTTTGGCTATGAGTAGACTCACCTCTATAACTCTTGGCTTCTGATCTTGGCAGAGCCAGCAAGACAATGAGACCTGGAAAAGAGACAGGAAGGGATCATTCAGATGGGAGTTCCCTGGACTCTGCTTGGCTGAAGGACAGGTGAGTTTGGGGTGACCAACCCTAACTCTGCCCAGTCTTACGTGCAAGCTTCATAGAATCTTCCAGGCAGGCTATAAATACAAGAGTCACAGGATTGGATGTCATATCCTTAGGAAGTATGAGAAGTGCATCTGATTGCAGCTGTGTTTCCCAATTTCAGAAAACCCAGCAGTGAATACAGCTTTTTCCCATGGTCTAGCACCAAAAGACCAAGTTTTCAATCTTCTTTCCATATTCAACAGTTTATTTTAATATCAATCCAGATCTCAAACCACACACCATCCAAGACTCTCACACTGTTGACCACAGCTGGAGTGCAGTGGCGTGAACTCAGCTCACTGCAAGCTCTGCCTTCCGGGTTCAAGCAGTTCTGCCTCAGCCTCCCGAGTAGATGGGATTACAGGCACCTGCCACCATCTCTGGCTAATTTTTTTTTTTTTTTTTTTGTAGTTTTAGTAGACATGGGGTTTTACCATATTGGCTGGTTTCGAACTTCTGACCTTAAGTGATCCACTGCCTTGGCCTCCTAAAGTGCTAGGATTACAGGTGTGACCTAACACGCCTGGCCACAGATGACTTTCTGTCTCTCTTTGCAAGAGTGTATTTTTCTGCACCCAGTTGGGAAGTAGGCCAGAAATGTGTGGGAATTACGCTGTTTCTTGGAGGTCCCTAGCAGGACTGCACTCGGGCTAACTGCAGTGGTAATGCCCTCACCAACACACCCTTCAGCATCTCTTCACCCTTCCTTGTGTGATCTCCCCACGCCCTTCTTTCCTGGGATCCTCCTCCCAAATAAACTACTTACCCACATCAGTCTTTGTTTCAGTTCTGCTTTGGGGCAGCCCAGTCTAACTGAGTCAAAATGATAGTTTCTTTTATTTTTGTAATTGTACTTTAGGTTCTGGGGTACATGTGCAGATCAGGCAGGATTGTTGCATAGGTACATACATGGCAATGTGGTTTGCTGCCTCCATCCCCTGTCACCTTTATCTGACATTTCTCCCCATGTTATCCCTCCCCAACCTCCCTACCCCCTGCTGTCCCTCCCTTAGCCTCCCCCAACAGACCCCAGGATGTGATGTTCTCCTCCCTGTGTCCATGTGTTCTCATTATTCAACACCTGCCTATGAGCAAGAACGTGCCTATGCGCAAAAACAAGACTGGTTTTCTGTTCCTGTGTCAGTTTGCTGAGAATGATGGTCCCTACAAAGAACATGAACTCATCCTCTTTTATGGCTACCTAATAGGACAGAAAATGCCAAATTGGAGGGAACAAACCAAGCTAGGACACCAGGGGCATGAGGAGAAGGGAGGGGAGTTCTCTGTTCCACTTACCTGAGAGCAGGAGCACAAGGAACCTGCTCCTCATGTTACTGAGATGCTGGGAACAATCTCTCTCAAGCAGGATTCAGTCAGAGTGCCTGGAATGAATAAGCTCCATGAAATCCAATTCCTGATGGTCACAAGTTCAGAAGCCACGTGGCCAATGCTTATCAAAATGGGAGACTGAGGCAGGAGAATTGCTTGAAACCAGGAGGCAGAGGTAGCAGTGAGCTGAGATCACGCCACTGCACTCCAGCCTGGGCGACAGAGCAAGACTCCATCTCAAAACAAACAAAAGAAAACCCTATCATCTCTGCCTCTCACTTGACCCAATAATTCTGCTTCTGGATAAGTCTCTTAAGGAAAAGAACCCGCAAGGCTGATCGTAGCATATCTGGTTATACTGAATGGGTTTACCACCCAACAGATGCTAAAAAAATGGATGCATCTGATGAAATGTCCTGCTGGAATTTAAAATCCTGATCTATTGCAATCAGCAAGGTCAAGAGTGTGGAAAATGCTACAGGACAAACTACTCGCTTTTTATTTCTTTTTGTTTACATTGCTGTCATTTATTTATTTTTAATTCATAATAATTATATATGTTTATGAGCTATAATGTGATGTTTTGACACGTTGACATTGTGGAATGATTAAATTAAGACAATTAGCATATATATGCATCAGCTCACATACCTATCTTTTTTTGGTCCGGGAACTTTCAAAATCTACTCTTTTTGCCATTTTGAAATATACAATATAGGCTGGGCACGGTGGCTCATGCCTGTAATACCAGCACTTCGGGAGAATGAGGTAAGCAGATCACCTGAGGTCAGGAGTTCAAGTCCAGCCTGGCCAACATGGTGAAACCCCATCTCTACTAAAAATACAAAAATTAGCTGGGCGTGGTGCAGGTGCCTGTAATCCCAGCTACTTGGGAGGCTTAGGCAGAAAAATCACTTGAACCTGAAAGGTAGAGGTTGCAGTGAGCTGAGACCACACCACTGGACACCACTGCCTGCGTGACAGAGCAAGATTCCATCTCAAAAAATTAAAAGATAAAAAATAAAATAAATATGTATACATATATTTATAATATATTTATGTAAAAGGCTACTATCTCCTATGTTTTAGGGAAATGTTAGCATTCTGTATGCAATTATCTATAATGCATGTGTGTACGTGTGTAGCTCACACCTGTAATCCCAGCACTTTAGGAGACCAAGGCAGGTGGATCACCAGGTCAAGAGATTGAGACCATTCTAGCCAACATGGTGAAACCTTGTCTCTACTAAAAATATAAAAATACAAAAATTAGCTGGGTGTGGTGGTGGACACCTGTAATCCCAGCTACTCAGGAGGCTGAGGCAGGAGGATCACTTGAACCTGGGAGGCAGAGTTTGCAGTGAGCAGAGATTGTACCACTGCACTCCAGCCTAGGTGGCAGAGTGAGACTCCATCTCAAAAAAGAAAAAAAAGGCATGTGAAGCCATGGGTTGATAGGTGCACCAAACCACCATGGCACATGCTTACCTATGTAACAAACTTGCACCGTATATCCTGGAACTTAAAATAAAATGTATATATTCGTTCATTCTTAGACAGAGTTTCACTCTTGTTGCCCAGGCTGGAGTACCATGGCACGATCTCAGCTCAGTACAACCTGTACTTCCTGGGTTCAAGCAATTTTCCTGCCTTAGCCTCCTGAGTAGCTGGGATTACAGGTGCCTGCCACGAAGCCTGGCTAATTTTTTTTTTTTTTTTTTTTTTTTTTTTTTTTTTTTTTTTTGAGACGGAGTTTCGCCGCTCTTGTTACCCAGGCTGGAGTGCAATGGTGTGATCTCGGCTCACCGCAACCTCCGCCTCCTGGGTTCAGGCAATTCTCCTGCCTCAGCCTCCTGAGTAGCTGGGATTACAGGGACGCACCACCATACCCAGCTAATTTTTTGTATTTTTAGTAGAGACGGGGTTTTACCATGTTGACCAGGATGGTCTCGATCTCTTGACCTTGTTATCCACCTGCCTCGGCCTCCCAAAGTGCTGGGATTACAGGCTTGAGCCACCGCGCCCGGCCGTTTTTTGTATTTTTAATAGAGACAGGGTTTTGCCATGTTGGCCAGGATGGCCTGCCTCGGCCTCCCAAAGTGCTGGGATTGCAGACGTGAGCCACTGCGCCCAGCCAAAAATAAAATAAAAGAAAAAAAGAAAAAGGAAGTGTCTGAGAAGCTGAGGCAAGGAGACTTTTCAGTTTATTCTTTTCTATATTTTGAATTTTCAGCCAAGCGAATATCGTTTCTATTCAAAGCATGAATCATTTCTAACAGAGAAAGTAGTGAAAGCACTAGACATCACTATCCATGAGCCTTTCAAAGAAGACTTTAAGGAGCATGATTGTAGTAAGCGTTTGCCTATGGGTATCAATTTAAAATGCAGAAAGCACTCTCCTAAGGTAATGTCCGTGGGCAACTGGGGTTTAAGATAAAACCTCCACAACGCACATTAGCAAAGATAATGTACTCTGCAGATCCTTTAAGCCTTTCAAAGGCACTGCCAATGTTGTTGGAGGCACTGATGGAGAAGATGCATTAACAGTTTGCAGAAACGTTTCACAAAATCTAAGCAGATAGGAAAACAACAATTATGCGCAATGCAAAGAATTTGATATCATATGCAAAAATAGTGTTGTAGGAGGCTATTAAAACAACATAGTGCCGGGCACAGTGGCTCATACCCGTAATCTCAGCACTTTGGGAGGCCAAGGTGGGTGGATCACTTGTGGTCGGGAGTTCAAGACCAGCCTGACCAACATGGTGAAACCCCATCTCTACTAAAAATACAAAAATTAGCTGGGTGTGGTGGTGGGTGTCTGTAATCCCAGCTACTTGAGAGGCTAAAATAGGAAAATTGCTTGAACCTGGGAGGTGGAGGTCGCAGTGAGCTGAGTTTGAGCCACTGCACTCCAGCCTGGGTGACAGAGTGAGACTCCATCTCAAAAAAGAAAAAAGTAGAAAAATAAAAAAATAAAAAAGAGAAAAAAAAGAAAAAAGTAGAAAGTGATTATGATTAGCATTAGGATCAAAAGCACGTTATATGATTCTGTCATTACACATTGTATGCATGTATCAAAATATATGTACCTCATAAATATGTACCATTATTGTGTATCAATACAAAATGTAAGTTATAAAGAAAGTACATAAGATCACACGTAAGAAAAATTTAAATGTTAATAGAATGACAGTATAAGTGATTTTAAATTTCTCTTTATTCAGCTATAATTCTAAATTGTGCCCATTGCTTTAGCAATAAAAATAATATAATGAAGTGTTTTAAGAAAAGAGAAAACAAAATTATCTTTTTTTTTTTTTTGAGGCAGGTTCTCACTCTGTCTCCCAGGCTGGAGTGCAATGGCGCCATCTCGGCTCACCACAACTTCTGCCTCCCAGGTTCAACTGATTCTCCTATCTCAGTCTGCTGAATAGCTGGGATTACAGGCACCCACCAGCACACCCAACTAATTTTTGTATTTTTAGTAGAGACGGGGTTTCACCATATTGGCAAGGCTGGTCTTGAACTCCTGACCTCAGGTGATCTGCCAACCTCATTCTCCCACAGTGCTGGGATTACAGGCATGAGCCACCATGCAGAGCCCCAAAATTACTTTGAAAATTGTTCTTGGGAGGTCTATACTCCTGCTTTGATGTATTCATGCTGCTTTGATCTCTGAGTTTGGAATCTGTTGAGGCAGTTATCTCAATGCTTCATGCACAGTTACATTCTGGCCATACACAGTTAGATAGCTTTAGAATTTGGTGCACAGGCAAACCTGGGTTTGAATCCCAAATCTACAACTACTAGTTAAGTGGCCCTGAGGCTGTCACTCTACCTCCAAGCCTCAGTTTTCTCATCTGCAAAATGTAGCTAGGAAAGAGCACATATTTTACACTTTCATGCTGATTCAGTGGGATGGCCCTTCATACTTGCCCAGTACATGGTAGGTAATGAATAAAGCTACCTGTGAAGAGAAGAAGGAATGATGATGGTGATGGTAGTGGTGATCATAGTGGATGTGATAGCAATAGTCATGATGGTAATGGTGGGGATGGTAGTGGATGTCATAATGATGGTGGAGGTAGTGATGAAGGTAGCAGTGGTGCTGATGGTACTGACAGCAGTTATGATAGTGGACATGATAGTAATGGTGATAGTGATGGTAAAAGTGGTGGTGGTGGTGGTGGTGGTGATGGTGTTGATGGTGATGCTGGTAATACTGATGGTGGTGATGGTGTTGGTGGTAATAATGGTGATGGTAGTGATGGGTTGGTGGCAATGGCAATGGTAGTGGTGGTAATAATGGTGATGCGGTGATGGGGGTGGTGGTGATGGTGATGGTGGTGGTGGTAATAATGGTGATGGTGGTGGTGGTAATAATGGTGATGGTAGAGATGATGATGATAGCGATGGTGGTGCTGATAGTGATGGTGATGGCAGTGACGGTAATAGTGAAGTGGGACAGAATGGTTGTGGTGATGGTGGCAAGGATGGTGGAAGTGACAGTAATGTGTTGGTGATGATGGTGATGACGGAGGTCATGGAGATCTCTCAGGTCCCTTCCCTGACCCCAGCTGTAATCACAATTTTGCATGCTAAGGACTGACCTTTTACCCAGTGGTAATGAGAATTCCTAAGGGTCCTGTGAAGTCCCCACAGGAACACAGTAGTGAGCTAAGAAGACCCATCCCATAGAACCTCTTATTCGTAAGCAGGTTAGCTGCACATTATGCATTGGAATCCTGCTTGCAAATTAAATTTTGCTGCAGACGCTTCTCTCATCCCTTACATTACTGTTTTTTTCTTTTCTTTCTTTTTTTTTTTTTTTTTTTTTTTTGAGTCCGAGTCTTGCCCTGTCACCTAGGCTGGCGTGCAATGGTGCAATCTTGGCTCACTGCAACCTCCACCTCCCAGGTTCAAGCGATTCTCCTACCTCAGCCTCCGCAGTAGCTGGGATTATAGGCACCTGCCACCACGCCTGCCTAACTTTTGTATTTTTAATAGAGACAGAGTTTCACCATGTTGGCCAGGAGTTGGTCTCGA